CACGGTGTTCTGATTATCAAACAACAGAAATAGAAAGATTTGTGGTAACAATCATGTAGATATAGGTCTGCAAGTCCTAGAATACCAAACCACACATGGCCAATACCTGTGGCAGGAGACGTCAAATTACCATAACAATTTAGAGATGTAGAAACAATTTGGTCATGTTTACCCAGTTGTTGACCTGTTTTCACAGGATAAAAATGACCAAAAAGCATTCCTGGTACAGAGGTGATCAATATGACTAAGCTGAACATGCTGTAAGATTACTTTGTATGTGGCATGTAGTGTTTGGACATACTTTAAAGAAACATGCAGAATTCCATGAGGCTGTTTTAACGTCAGCACAATAGTTTTGTCCAACTTAAAGAAACAGCATTTTTATATAATGATTGAAAAAAATCAAGATGCAGATAGACAAATCTTTAAAGAAGGCTGTTCAGATTGTTATTATTATTGTTTGTGTCAAGACTTTGCATTTAAGATTGTGAGGTATTTTAGCAATTTCATGGATATATCTGAAATTACCAATTGAAAGGGGGGGCAGTGGGGTAGCCTAGTGGTTCAAGCGTTGCTCGTCACGCTGAAGACCCGGGTTCGATTCCCCACATGAGTACAATGTGTGAAGCCCATTTCTGGTGTCCCCGACATGATATTGCTGGAATATTGCTAAAAGCGGCGTAAGACTAAACTCACTCACTCACTCACCAAAGGAGGGTAAACAGTATAAACATTAACCTACAGCTCCTCAACTGAAGAATTTAGAGAAAATAAATGTGATGATAAGAACAGTTTCATTTCGGATTGATTCCATCTTCCAATGTCACAAAGACTCTGGTTTATCATAATTTTTTGAGACAAAACTTATTTCATGGTATTAAAAGCTACCACAACAGTATGCAATGATATGAAAATATGGGAATTAAGAAGGTTTACATTTAGGAGCAAGCTGTTCCTTCTTGTTTGAGTTTTCATGGTGACTGTTGAAACTGGCAAGTGCTCAAAGCAATAGTCTGAAGGTGATTACATGGGGCAAAAAGTGCTGAAATAATTTGTTTGAGCAACTTGGCCAATGTTTGTAAGATTGCATCAGGTTACTGTTAATTAAAGATAGGATGACAGAAAGGAAAACATGCATAGCTGGAATGTTGAAGATGAGGAGCTAGAAAGTGCCGAGTTAATGAAGTCCCATCAGAAATACATCGAGAGATTTGTGTGGGACAATGACGCTAATAATGATGGAACCATAATGTCAGCAACCTTAAATGTGTATACAATCTTAATGTATAGCCAACCACTGTGAACTTGAAGAGTTATTGTAGCACTAACATCTCAATGTATACTACTCAAGAGAAGTTAAGGAATACCTCATTCATTCATACATCCTAGACTTTGCTTCATTTAGGGCTTTAGCACTTCCGCTATATAGCTGGAATATTTCTGAGTGTGGCATTTAAACAACAAACCAACTAACCAACTTCAGCATTTCAGAAAGGGCTGGGCGGAGGAAAAATAATGCGATTCAGGGACTGTGAGACAGACTAATTCTTACTGTGTGTAGTTAATTCGCGTGACTTCTTTAGAACAGTGTACCGAGATACAATTCTGTGTTGAATACACTAGCAGTACTAGTGAATTAGTTCAAAGCTGTATTTGAAGTGATTAATAAGCATCCTGTACACAGGCGTCTTGAGCGATGTTCAGGAATCTTCTTACAGACAAGGCACCATGTTCCTTGTCTACTATTTCCAGTAACATCAAGCCAGTGAACATGGTCAGGCGATACGACTGATAACGTCTGGCAGTGTAGACGGTCATGCCACCCAATGAAATACTTTGAGGATTCCTGACTTTCTTTATGTCCAAAGTGGTCAGACTTGACTTGTCTGTCGATTAGTGCACCGTCTTTCCGGTAAATTGTTTTTGGTGTCTTAATTTCCGTTGCTTTGATGTGACAACTGGTTTCAGACAGTGGCATGATTGCCTTACCTACATCGGACACCTACTACTAGTTGGAAGCAGCTTGACTACAAATAAATGTCTATGTCTATTTGTAGGATGTGTTTCTTTCAACATGTGTTCTTGTTCATTGAAGTGCTATCCAAGTACAATTTACAGAAACAACAGATCTTGCTTATAAGACTGGTCTAATTCATCTCAGAAAATGCAGTATAAGCTGCTCTTTGGGTTCCGTTTAGTTTGGAAATGGTTTTCTTTTCACTTATTATGTCTTCTATATACAAATAGTACAAATAAAATATGTTAGAGCTGAAGAATATACTTGGGAGTGTAACGATATATTGAACTAATGATATATTGCTTTGTTCTACTCTTGTACAGTATCAATGGAGATGATGAGTTAAGTCAGTAGCTTCCCTAAAAATAGTTTCAATTATCAGAATTGGTCATTAATAAAAGATATGAATTATGCAAATTCCAAACCTGCGATTATGGTGGTTAGCAAGCCTTACATCTTTTGAGTTACTTCCCTTTCATTAAGTAGCTGCAAGGAGGAAAATGTCTAACGTTTTTATGTCAGCAACACTTTATTCATTTCTGTTGATAAATAATTTTTTCAAGCCTTAAGGTTTGTTTGCTAATACCACAGGTCTATTGCAGTACTATTGCAATTTCAATCACAGTGCAAAACCATGTAATGCTTTGAAAGTTTGACAATATTCATAATTTCAGCAGAAGTTAATTATACTTTGGGATATTTCTCTGGAAGGAATGTATTCCCACAATTGTTACTGCTTATGTAACAAAAATGTTCTATTTTCATACAACCGGCTCTTCTGATCCAAGAGATTGTATCATATTTGCAGATAGTAATGATTCATTAACTTTGAGAATAAAATCACTACTGACAAACTACATAGTCATTTTCAGTGGCATGCAAGATACATGAGAGTTCACTGTTCTCTTCCCTTTGTAAAACATACAATACTATCAGGCTCGCAGGGTTACTGAGTAAAGAAACCTGTTTCTTTACAAAAAGCATTCCAGCATTTCCATATTTTAGCTATTCTTTTGAAAGCCAAACAGACTGAAGATACTATGATAGGGATTCTTGTTCAGGAATCCCACCTTGTATGTGATATTTGCATTGATGGTCATCCTGTATGTTGAAGAGGAACTGCTTCTTACACCGCTTGTCAGTTCCAACTGCATGCTGTGTGTACCACACCTGTTAGTGAAGAGTTTGACATGCATCTGTCAGCGCTCAGTAGGAGATACACATACTTGTCTATAGACATGTGATATAGGAGATATTCAATACCTGGAGTGGTCAGTAGCCAATTGGCTGAAGCTCCACACTCCACCTAGGCCGTATGATATATCAGGTTTACAGTAATTGGAATGGTCATTGGCCAGTGTGGCGTATTATTGGATATATGATATATAACACATTTGACATCAGTGTTTGGTATGTCAACAAGGCATTTTACATGCCTTAACTTGGCTCACATGTGATATACCTGGTATTCATTGGATTTGGCGGTCGCTGATTGGTCTTTGTTTGATCTGTCTGACAAGAGGTAAATGTGATATACCAAATATTTAACGGTCAGTACTTGAGCCACATGCTTGACCGCCATGTATCATGTTATCACATGGTCAGTTAACCATTATGAGGCATCTGGATCCCATTCTGTGACAGGTAGGAAGTGGAAACTATGATATACATAGCAATATATACTGGATACCATATGGCCAGTTTTCACACTTACTTGGCCACATGTGTGACCCCATTTTGAAAATTTGCTGATGCAAAATATACCTTTAACTCATATACACTACTTCAATAAGTTCTAACAGTTACTCTCGTGGTAGTTTGTTCTTGAAATTTTGATATCTTGCATATAGATGATTTTAACAATAACATGATTTTGTTGAAAACAAAGGTTTCATAAATGTTATATTTTAAAAAAATTCGAACTTGACAATTGTGGACGTAATCCTACTATAAAGTCTGTTAAACGTTGCTTTGGAAAAATCATACATTTTGTTTTAATATTTAAAAAATATACATGCCCCAAACAGTCCCCTACCTCATGAGAGTCTTACCTGACAGTGGTTTCATGGTAATAATGGGATATCATATTATATTGCATTTCCTGTCAACTCAGGGCTACCTACATCTACTTCCTGCTAGTAAGAAGATACTGCCTCCTTGACTTCCATAGTGGGAAAATACAAAGTCAGTTAGGACTACAATATGCCATTGTGTGCTTAACCACAGTCTGTTGATCTATACACTTGTGGACCCTTACTCATTGCAACAGTCTTCAGTTGATCTGGGTTAAGAAGACAGTGGTTTAATCCTATGCATCCGACAAATGGACATGCCCCAAACAGAAAATAATATCAACTTGTCATGATGTGGAGATCCTATTTCTGTTACTTTTTGCCTCCAGTGATTATGGGTATGAATTATGAATGATTGAAGATTACCATAAGTTGACATAATGAAAAATGATTTTTCACATCATGTTACAACTGATTCACTAGTGTTCATGTTTGTGACAGGATCAGGATCAATTGTTAAGTCAACCAGCCAGCAACATTGCATGTTAACCCCCTGAAGGCTTGTGTCTTGAGTTATCGATCAATAATGTAAAGCGTAATGTTATGAAATATAATGGTATGTTATCATCATATGATCTAGAAACAATATGGCAGATTTATTCAGTCCCATATGATACGGTTGCTTCTGACTGACACATACAGGTGAAGGAACAAAAGTCATGCACTAAGGCGTATGTTACATTGTCATGTGAGTCGCTACTGTGTGGGGGATGTAGTGTTATATGGGTATTTTACAGGTGCTTCAATACCCTTCCTTTGCCTAGCAGGTGCTTGGTTGATCTGTAAATGACACATCTTTGGGCTTGTTGGTCACAACAGAGCAATAAGTTAATTAATTTAGTTTGTCTCTTACATTAAAGCTTGTTATATATACTCTGGAACACTTCTGAATGTTTTATCTTCTATTTCAGGGAGCCTTACAAGATGTTAAAATTTACGGAAATCCAGCTGAGGCTGAAGATGATGAATGCAATTTTGTGAGTATCGCCTGTTTTCCTTCCCGTTGCCCTGTTGTCTTTTCCATTCATCTTCCCACATAACACCCATTGGTAATTTTGGGTAAGAATGTCAGTCTCCACATGCTTTCTGTATAAGACATGATGTATCTGGTAGTCAGACTCAGTAACAGGAGAAGGAGGAGTCATGAGGAATATTATTTTTTTCAGTGGCTTAACAACACATGAGACATGAGGTGAGGTGAGGTGAGGTGAGGTGAGGTGAGGTGAGGTGAAATTGGGTTTAACGTCGTGCTTGAGAATATTTCGCTCATATGACGACGTGCATGCGTGTGTATGTGTATGTGCAGCTGCTTGTACTAGCCCAGACTTAAGCTGGTTTTATAGTGCTAGCCCACTGAGATACCATGCCGCAGTGAAGCATGAATACCCCACTCAGAGGCAACATGTCTCGTGTGTTGTTAAGCCACTGAAAAAAATAATATTCCTCATGACTGTCTCATTGCAGATCCTTGAGGAGATTTGAAAGTTCTCGTACAGATCTGACATTTTGTTTGGTTATATTTCAGGATTTTAGTGGCTCTGGGTCAGGCTCTGATGAGACAAAGGGCGACATTGACATCGAAACTGGTACACCTAGCCCAATGGTGAGTTTTAATTTCCCACAAGAAATCAATTATCACTTATCGTCTGAGACATAGATTTATGTATGAACATTCTGCATAAATGTCTCTCAGATATATAAAAAACTGAAGATCAATTTTAGTGTACTAAGTAAAACTAGTTAAGAAAAATTGTTTGTTTCAGTTAACTTATTACTATTAGTAGAGAACACTGGTCTGATTGTTATGGGAATCTTCTAATGTTTTTGGTGAATCTTTATCATATGATAAAACAATAAAATACAGTGCTTGTTTAACAATAGAATATGTACCCAAAAAGTTTGTTTAAATCACATGACTTATCTCATATTCACTGGTCACATGATCATGTGACTAATATTGCCATACAGTAATTACTAGTGGCTAGGTCATTAAGCAAAAATAATGACCTGTGGCCTTGATGAAGTCAGATCACCAGAGGAGTCTTCAGGTCCTTGTCTTTGCATATTAACTTTGACAAGAGAAATATAATATTTTTGCATACATTTTTTTTGTCCAGTATGAAAATTTTAGTCTCACCCTTAAGGAAACAATTCATGGATATAAAATGACAGCAGTTTGACAAGATTTTGGTGATATGCTCAAAATTTCTGCCTCTTGTTTCAGCCCACCCGGCCTGATGGTAGTAAGGGAGGTGCGAAGGGCCAGAAGGGTGAGCCAGGCATTGCTGGATTGAAGGGAGATGCAGGACCCCCAGGGCCCCCACCCATGATAACACCACCCCCACCAGACTTGAAAGGACTCACAGGAGTTAGAGGTAAGAACACAGGTGTCAATGTGACTTTGGATCTATCTAAAAAAAACCAGGACATTAAATTGATAAATATAAAGTTGAAAATGTTTGGTTAAATTGATGCTGAGTAAGCAGTATTATTGTCTAAGAATAATTGTGTCTGAACCAAACAAGCCAGTGATTGACATCATGATCATCATTGTACACAACTGGGATAAAGTGACATACCTTAACCAGGTCAACAAGCCTTACCATATGATCCTGTTAGTTGCCTCTTAATACAAGCACCCGTGAAGGTCCGGGTTAGAATGTACCTTCAGTAACCCATGCTTGTTGTAAGAGGTGACTAACAATATCGGGTGGTCAGACTCGAATTGTAACCAGGATCTTCACAGGGAAATGTTTTTATGCATGCCTTGAAAGTTACTGACAAGGCTCACATATTCTATTTATTTGACACACCTGCTTCCATAGGTCCCATTTGGGAATTTGTCTTAAAACAGTTGCTCCCCCACCTATATGACTAAATGAATCAGATTGTGTGGCGCCCACCAAGGCTTGGTTGACTGCATTCATTCTACCCTGATGGCGTAGATATTTATCTCACAGTTGCTGAATAACTTATCTTAGACCTGGAATATTGCTGTGATTTGGCATTGAACTACAAACACTCAAATATTTCTAAAATGAAAAAACCCTGATTGACAAGTGAATCTTGACATTTACCTAAACCAGGTGACAAAGGTGATCGAGGTGCTCCCGGAGAGGTGGGGGAGCCTGGGTTTCCAGGGCAGAAAGGACAGAGGGGAGAAACAGGCGTTGGAGAACGAGGTCCCGGTGGTGAAATGGGTCTACCTGGCCCCAGAGGAGAAAAGGGAGATCTGGGACCTCGGGTAAGTCTGCTGAGCTTATCATGCAAATCAGTCGGGTGAGTCAGGCAGGTGAGTCAGTCCAGTGAGTCCATCTGGTGAATTGATAATGATGTGATGGAACATGTAGTATCTACTTTTTGTAGTATCTAGAATTTTTAGACGCGAATGAAATCATTTTGGAAATGATGTTGCATACTTCCCATTGATTATTCAATTTTAGGGGTGACTATTGAGGGGGAAACAACTATTGTGATAGCGATAGTCTATTGCAACATACTATTGCAATAGTTTTTCTCTCTCCTTGAATCGTCTCATTTGAAGTCATTTCCCAAATGAATGTATAGTTCATATGGATTAATAAAGACAAGCTGAAGTAGTTTCAGTCTCTTTTTATAACTGACAAGAAACTTGAAACCCAGGTCAAGGTTGTTTAAGAGGTAACAGGGGCTGATAACTCTAAATCAAAGTGAATGAATCTGGTACTTCCTGTATTTTGCGCTGTGCATTTATCAACAGACGTCAATTACTAAATTATAGATAGTCACACATACTATCGATGCATTGATAGTTTCTCGTTTCTACCATCGATTAATTGCTATCAGAGACTCAACAATTGCAATCCATCGATAGTTTGATGCATCGTTACAGCCCTAGTCGATTGCATGACCAATTGTTGACCATATTATGTCAATAGCTTGATACAAGAGTATTTTGCTAGGGAGTATAATCAGTTGGCAAAAAACAGTTTGCATTTGTTTTGATCGTATCATGAGACAAAACAATAAGCCTAAGAAAACTGACCAAATTCTTGTGACTTGCCTCCTATTCATCCATTACATTATCATGAGACTTGCCTCCTATTCACCCATTACATTATCATGAGACTTGCCTCCTATTCACCCATTACATTATCATGAGACTTGCCTCCTATTCACCCATTACATTATCATGTCATCAGTGTTGTCTTCTTCTAGAGATATTACTCTTCCCTTAATTCAGTTTCATAGCAGGCCACTGTGTTCTAGCTGTTAACATGTTGCCATGCAGCTCGAGCACCACGTTTATTGGACCCATTTCTCCCACTAGGGTCTGCCTGGTATTGCCATGCAGGGTCCACCAGGTCCACCTGGACCCCCTGGTATCCCAGGGTCCATTGACGTCATCCCAGAGCTGGAGCGTGGGGATAAGGGAGATTTGGGCCAGAAGGGGCAGAAAGGAGAGCCAGGGAATGGACTACCCGGAACGCCTGGCACTCCCGGACAGAGGGGTCTCATGGGACCTAGGGTAAGTTACTGTGGAGAATATATATGTGTCATCATCATCAGTTACGTACAAATACAGCCACCCCTACCTCCTCCAAACCCCACCACCCCAAAAACACCACAAAACGAAAAAAGAAAAAAATTAAACATAAAAGGGGAAGAAAAAATGCAAAGCCCCAAAACATAGGCTTTATATTTGCACAAGAACTTCTTGTCACTGTTTTGCTTTTACACTTGATCAGTATCAGTAAGTGAGTGAGTATGGTTTTTACGCCGCTTTTAGCAATATTCCAGCAATATCACGGGGGGGGACACCGGAAATGGGCTTCACACATTGTACCCATGTGGGGAATCGAACCCGGGTCATCGGCGTGACGAGTGAACGCTTTAACCACTAGGCTACCCCACCGCCCCTTGATCAGTATCAATACAGAGTGCATGCTGGTTGATATCCTGGACTTCATTTCACAAAGTGATCGTAGTGCTAAGGTGGTTGTAACTCCCATACTTTAACATAGACTTACGCTTTGTGAAACGGGCCCCTGGATGAGACTCCAGCCCCCAAAAGTACTCGAACCTGTTCTTGTTTTAGACACTTTAATCCCAAATTACATATGTTATATATATTGAACAGTATCATTTCAGCAGTTAATGAATAAATTATTGTATGAACTATGCCCACTAAAAGCATATATAGTCTGTATCACCTGCCTCCCACATAAAGCTGACACAATGTGACTAAGCCTGGTAACAAAAGTATGCTGTAGGGGTGTGGGGTAGCCTAGTGGATAAAGTGTTAGCTGGTCATGCGGAAGTCCTGGGTTTGATTCCCCACATGGGTACAATGTGCGAAGCCCATTTCTGGTGTGCCCTGCAGTGATATTGCTAAAAGCAGCATGAAACCATACTCACTCATTTGTCCATAGTTGATGATGGGAGTTATAACATGGCTATCAGGAATAAGTTCAGATTTAAGAAGGAGAATGTCATATCTCAGTTTTCAGGTACACTCATGCAGCTTCTTCTTTCATCTTCGACCCATGAAGGTCCGTGTAAGAATGTGCCTTCTGTAACCCATGCTTGTCAAAAGAGGCGACTCACGGGATCGGCTGGTCAGGCTCGCTGGCTTGGTTGACACATCATCGGTTCTCAATTGAGCAGATCGATGCTCATGCTGTTGATCACTGGATTGTCTGGTCCAGGCTTGATTATTTACAGACTGACGCCATATAGCTGGAAAATTGCTAAGTGTGGCGTAAAACTAAACGCACTCACTCACTCATTCTTTCATCTTCAGTAGGGACACGAATTTAGAAAATGATAAATTGAATGTAAATAATAGTATGCCATGCTAGAAATTTCAGGTATTATTTCATGATTCCATATATACATGTATTTTGTTTAAGAACTCACTCACTCACCCTTATGCTGTATGATGACCACATCAGTTAACCTGTTACCAATATATAGGGGGCGGTGGGGTAGTCTAGTGGTTAAAGCGTTTGCTCGTCACGCCGAAGACCCGGGTTCGATTCCCCACATGGGTACAATGTGTGAAGCCCATTTCTGGTGTCCCCCCGCCGTGATATTGCTGGAATATTGCTAAAAGCGGCGTAAAAGTATACTCACCAATATATATGTTACAGGGTGAGAGTGCGTCAGGAGAGAGGGGATTTCCGGGTCTGCCTGGACCTCCCGACCAGACTTCGATTATTTACAGACCACCGCCATATAGCTGGAATATTGCTGAGTGTGGCGATAAAACTAAAACTCACTCCACTCAATTTAACTTTAGATTGATATATTATATACATTATGTGTCTTGAATGACATCATGTAGCAGAATATATGGCGATTGTATATATGGCTATATTATGATTTCTATGCTGGCACATACACATGTCCTAATAAATGCTTTTGTACTATTTTGCCACAGAATGGAACAGGTAACTTTAAATTGATATTGTTTTGTTAACCATCTTTGGCACTTATTCTTTATATTTATATTTCACTTTTAAGTTGCCATTGTCCTGCAATTTTATACATGTTTGGGGGTTATATATTTTTTATTTTGTGTTAATACATACTTGGATGTTTGGATAGTGGTTCCCCACATGGGTACAATGTGTGAAGCCCATTTCTGGTGTCCCCCCGCCGTGATATTGCTGGAATATTGCTAAAAGCGGCGTAAAAGTATACTCACCAATATATATGTTACAGGGTGAGAGTGCGTCAGGAGAGAGGGGATTTCCGGGTCTGCCTGGACCTCCCGGACCACCAGGACCTCCTGGCCTCGGGGGTGTCGGCATGATTGATGTTGATGGCACTGGATCTGGAGATATCGATGGCATGCCAGGTCCACCTGGACCTCCTGGGCCTGCTGGACCCTTGGGACCCAGGGGTCTGCAGGGCTTACAAGGCTTACAGGGACTTCAGGGAGTGCCTGGGGTACCAGGATTACCAGGTTTGAATAATTCATGACATATGTTTGTGTATGTTTTTTTTGGACTCTGTTGTGTCTGAAGCAATCCTGCTAGTTTTCAAGGAATTAATTCTTAATATCTGAAAGAGATAAATTCTATAAACGCTATATAACACACTGAAATCACTTTTTGAGTGGCATTTTAGAAGTTTTAGAAGAATATTGAAAAACTTCATGGATAGCAACTTGTGTTATTCTGTGAGTGCCACGTTTTGATACAGATTCTTGTACTGTTGTCAAGCAGGAATATGACATATGACACTCTCATAAATCACTCTTAATGTGAGTCAGCATTTTGTCTTCTGGCAGCTGCTAACCAGTTCACTGGCTGTGGTCTCAAATCCCAGAATATTACTGTTTCAATTGTCATCATGCTCTCCCGTTTATCCAGGCAAGCCAGGAGCATTTGGCACAGGCAATGGCACAGGAGTCCCTGGACAACCAGGCCTCCCTGGACGAGATGGACTCCCAGGGGCTACAGGGGCACCGGGCATGCCAGTGAGTTACCCCCCTCTTTGTCCAACTTCCACATTATGACAATCAAGATTTCAATGAGGTTGAGTGAAGCCCATATCCGGTGTCCCCTGCCGTGATATTGCTGCAATATTATGCTAAAAATGGCGTAAAACCATACTTACTCATAATAAAGTTGTTATATACATAGATATGATGATCACATACTTAACTTTAGAGACCCGTAAAGATCCGGGGTAGAATAGGTCTTCAGCAACCCATGCTTGCCACAAAAGGCGACTATGCTTGTCGTAAGAGGCGACTAACGGGATCTGGTGGTCAGGCTCGCTGACTTGGTTGACACATGTCATCGGCTCCCAATTGCGCATATCGATGCACATGCTGTTGATCACTGGATTGTCTGGTCCAGACTCGATTATTTACAGACCGCCGCCATATAGCTGGAATATTGCTGAGTGTGGCGTAAAACTAAACTCACTCACTCACTCACTCAATTAACTTTAGATTGATATATTATATACATTATGTGTCTTGAATGACATCATGTAGCAGAATATATGGCGATTGTATATGGCTATATTATGATTTCTATGCTGGCACATGCACATGTCCTAATAAGTGCTTTTGTACTATTTTGCCACAGAATGGAACAGGTAACTTTAAATTGATATTGTTTGTTAACCATCTTTGGCACTTGTTCTTTATATTTATATTTCACTTTTAAGTTGCCATTGTCCTGCAATTTTTATACATGTTTGGGGGTTATATATTTTTATTTTGTGTTAATACATACTTGGATGTTTGGATAGTGGTTTGTTGAACTGTTGTATTACTTGCACGACCTTTCCTCTTGCTCAAATTGGTCAGCTACCCATGCTCGTCATAAGAGGTGATTATGCTTGTCGTTAACGGCAACTTGCAGGACTTGATGGTCAGGCTCACTGACTAGGTTGATGCACATTGTCGTCTCCCAATCGTGGACCCGTGAAGATCCGGGGTAGAATAGGTCTTCAGCAACCCATGCTTGCCACGATAGGTGACTATGCTTGTCGTAAGAGGCGACTAATGGGATCGGGTGGTCAGGCTCGCTGACTTGGTTGACACATGTCATCGGCTCCCAAATGCGCAGATTGATGCTCATGCTTTTGATCACTGGATTGTCTGGTCCAGGCTTGATTATTTACAGACCACTGCCATATAGCTGGAATATTGCTGAGTGCGGATAAAACTAAATTGACTGACTTACTCACCCAATCGTGCAGACCAATGCTAAAAATGTCAATCACTGGATTGTCGTGTCCAGACTCGATTGTTTACAGACCCCCATCATGAAGCTGAAATATTGCTGAACAACAACCAATATACTTTTAGGGACTATGTTACAGTTTATTGCTGTGTTAAATGATCTGTTGCCTATGTTAATATTTTTCTGTCTTAATTGATGCTAACAAATAATTTGATATGCTTAAAATACATTTGAGATAGACCCATGAACATCCGGGTTAGAATTGGTCTTCAGCAACCCATTCTTGTCGCAAGAGGCGACTAGCGGGATCGGGTGGTCAGGCTAGCTGATTTGGTTGACACATGTCCTCATATCCCAACTGTGTAGATCGATGCTCATGATATGTTAATCACTGGATTGTCTGAACCAGACTCAATACAGACCACCACCATATAGCTTGAAAATTACCGAGTGTGGTGTCAAATAACAAACAAACATCAGATATACAATGTACCCATGAACTCATGCTTGTTCCTTTAGTATCAACCACCTGTGGAGATCCGGGTTAAAATTAATCTTCAGTAACCCATGCTTGTAAGAGGCAACTAACAGGATTAGGTGGTCAGACTCGCTGACTTGGTTGACACATGTCATCGGCTCCCAAATGCGTATATCGATGCTCATGCTTTTGATCACTAGATTGTCTGGTCCAGACTCGATTATTTACAGACCGCTGCCATATAGCTGGAATATTGCTGGGTGTAGTGTTAAACAACAAAACAATTTAGTATCAACCATGCTTGGTTATAACTGTATTATTGGTGACAGAAGTTTTATCATCCCTTACAACCTTCAGACCTACCGGATAGTTAACCTTGAAGAATTACTATTATGAAATGGTTATTGACCACCTTTTTTCATATTACTTTACATAATAATGCCATGAAAAATAACTAAAGTAATATGAAAGAATCAGATGGTCAATACCTTTTTTGAGGATTTATTTATTTATTGGAGGAAAAATGTCCGTAATTAGGCCAGACCAATTTTATTTCTTGTTTTACAGATTTTTGTCCTCAGAAAACCTAAAGGCAGGAGGGAAACAAAAATAAAAATAAAATCAGCAGTCAAAGTAATATTCCTTCTAAATCTAAGTATTTTACTTTTGGCAATTTATGAAGTGTATTTGGAGCAAATAACAAACTAACAAAAAATTCTTGTAAGTTTACATTTTTGGACAATAAAAACATTAGGATTTTATGTTTTGAGCAGGGAAAATTGATTATTATTTTTTTGCTTATTCTTGAAAAAATACTACAGGCAGATCTGTAAAACAAGAAATAAAATTGGTCTTGCCTTAAGGGTAAAACCTTCTGATACATGCTGAATATGTGAACAGCTTGAGTGTAGGTGTTGTGTCGATGTGATGCAATTTCAAATAAACCCAGAGCATGTCCACTGCAATCCGTATTCATGTAAAATGGATTCTCTCATTACATGTGAAACACCTGTGAAATGTTTCCCTAAGTTTGTTGAGCACTGTGTATCTGTTGTTTCCAGGGTGTTCCCGGACAGCCAGGTGAACCAGGTCCAGTTGGTCCCCTAGGACCTAAAGGAGACAGAGTAAGTATGTTCATATACAAGTCGACCTGTGAAGACCCAGGTTAGAATTGATCTTCAACAACCCATGCTTGCCATAAGAGGCGAGTAACAGGATTGGGTGGTCAGGCTCACTGACTTGTTTGACACATGTCATGGTATCCCAGTTGTTTAGGTTGGTGCTCATGATGTCAGTCACTGGATTGTGTGGTCCAGGTAGATGGAATGTTGTTTAGTATGGCGTTAAACAGCAAACAAGCAACAAGAAGGTCGCTGACTTTGTGTGCTGGTGATTAGATGCCTGACTCTGACTCCCGGATGGGACCCGACCCAACAAAGTATTAGAATCTGTTCTTTACTGATAAAGTGTATTTAGGAGATAAACATACTGTTGGAAAATCAGAGGATTATATAACGTGATTATATTCCTCTGAATGACTTAAATTAACCAATCAAAATCCAGTATATACTGAAGTTATAGTAGAATCCCAAGTATAACATATGTTGAACAAGTATGTTGTACTATTTCAGGGTCTTGAGGGTATCGCCGGTGAGGAAGGTCTGCCAGGCCCCAAGGGAGAGGCAGGAACGGATGGTAGCAGAGGTTTACAAGGCACTCAAGGTTACAGGGGCTTGATGGGTCCACCTGGTCCACCAGGACCTCCTGGCATTCCCGGCAGAGGAGGCTTCTTTGGTGGAAGTGGCGAGGTACTAAAGAGGATTGTGTAGTTATATTAAATTTTTACATCTTATACTAGTAACTTTCTTTGTGACAGGTTCACTTACAAATTTGGTAATTTTGGCTGAAATAGGTGTTTTTGCAGGATTTCCCTTTGAGATTTTGAAGTACTGAGAATGAAAATTTGAGGAATATGAATTCAGAACTCTGGAGATGGAGAGATTGGTGAGCCTGGTCTGCAGGGACCAAGAGGATTACCAGGTCCACGAGGGTCCGATGGTCTGCCAGGACAAGCAGGACCACAAGGACCAAAGGGAGAACGAGGGTACCAAGGTGTTGCTGGAGTCAAGGGAGAACGAGTGAGTATAATGAAATGGTCCAAAAATATTTTACTAAACTTAGTCTACTAACTGTTGGGTGCGGTGGGTAGCTTAGTGGTTGAAGCGTAAGCTTGTCACACTGAAGACCTGGGTTCTTTTCCCTACATGGGTACAATGTGTGAAGCCCATTTCTGGTGTCCACCACCGTAATATTGCTAAAAGTGGTGTTAAACCATACTCACTCACTAACTGTTGGTTTGAATTTTGCTCTGTGGAAGACACTGTGGTATTATACAGTCTCAACAGATGGCAGAGAACTGCAGTGACTATTGCACAGATCCCCCCGTTTCATGGTCTCTATATCAACATGTATAAAAGTCTTTCATGATAGTGATCTCCTTAGATCTTATTACGGGGATTGTCCTTTAAATTAAGCTCTTTTTGTGAGAGGCAGTGGGGTAGCCTAGTCGTTAAAGCTTTCGCTTGTCACATCGAAGATCCAGGTTTGATTCCTCATATGTGTTAGGCCCATTTCGGGTGGCCCTGCTGTATTGTTGCTGAAATAATGCTAAAAGGGGTGTAAAACTAAACTCGCTCGCTCTTTATTTGAGATCATTCCAGAGAGGTAATTTTTTTTTTAACCTCCGAGGCTGGGGTGATAATATCTGACATTGTTCGACCTCCAGGGCTTCCCAGGAGATGATGGTCTTCCAGGACCCCCGTGGAGAAGTGGGAACTCCTGGTGTTCCTGGAGCAGAAGGTGCTCGAGGAGAAGCTGGACAGCCTGGTGTGCCTGGTATTAATGTAAGTGTATTCTATTTCTTAAAGCATATTGTCCAGGGTGCCGTTGTACAAAGCGATCTTAGCGCTAAGGTTACCGTAACTCCCATTCCTTAACGTAGACTTAAGGTAGCCTTAGCGCTCAGGTTGTTTTGTACAACGGCACCCAGGGGCCTGTTTCACAAAGCGATGTTAGTGCTACGACTTTCGTAAGTCTATGTAAAGTATTGGAGTTATGATCACCTTAGTGCAACGATCGCTTTGTGAAATGGGGTCCAGATCACCATATTTATGATCCATGATCAACACTCGGAGAAGGAGTTAAAACAGTCTATTTTTGCAGTCTGAAAGATATACTGTGTTGCTAATCAAAACAGAAGAACGCAGCACTCCCCAAATTTATGTATGGTTTCAGTAAATACAAGTTTTATCATGAAAAAAACAGTCAGTGATACCAAACTGAAGTATGCAATTAATCACTCTCTATTTGTTGTATATCTCAACTTTGCTTTGTGATGCATTTTATAAATTTCATTCAATAAGTTTGTAGAAAATGTGTGAACTGATTGGGAGATTGGACAAATACATTGTTAGTTACTTTGTTATTTAAATGTGTTTGCAGCTAATAGCTATTTCTGGCCCTGTTATCCAAATAATACACATTATCGTCTTAGTCTCTGTATATAAAACAATGCCAAGCATAACTGGAAATACAATTTAAGTTGTAAATCATCTTGTCTAGTGATGCTTTATCTCAAGTTTTCATTGACAAATTTATTACCACCTGTTTCTTTACTGAATCCACTGGAGGGATATGATAAGAGGGGCAGTGAGGTAGCCCAGTGGTTAAGGTGTTCGCTCGTCACGCTGAAGACCCGGTTCAGTTCCCCACATGGGCACAATGTGTGGGACCCATTTCTGGTGTCCCCTGCCGTGTTATTGCTGGAATATTGCTAAAAGCGGTGTAAAACTAAACTCACTCACTCTTAATTTGGAGATGAAGGGTCCCTGGATTTGGTAATTCACAAGTTAACACCAGTGTTTTATCTTGCAACAGGGCAGAGATGGACTTCCTGGAATAGGTGAAGCTGGTCCTGTTGGACCACCTGGACCTCCTGGACCACCTGGAAGATCAACCATTGTTGGTTCTGGAGGATCTGGATCAGATGTGGACGTTGTTACACAGAAGGTGAGAGGGTTATTGGAAGTTTCCGACCTGGAAACAGTATAGTCATCCTTCCATCATAAGGGAAATCTATGGAATATTTAAACATGGTTGGAAGGTTCATCAAATCTTGTGTTGGAAGTCAATCTATCTGACTTATAGGTGCATGATTGATTAGAATACATCACAGAAAACATGTTGGCTAGCAGTATGTTTTGAAGCAAAGTAGAAAACTGGGCCCCATTTCATAAATGCAATTGTAGCAGGATGACTGTCATAGGTCTATGTTAAAGTATGGGAGTTACGATCACCTTAGGGCTATGATCGCTTTGTGAAATGGGTCCCAGGGCGTGAGATGTACCGTATATGACCGACTATAAGTCGGGCCCCTTTCTCAACCCTCTAAATTCTTGCCAAAACCATGTAACTCAAGTATAAGTCGGCCCCTTTCCCCGTACGAATCGGTATCGCCGCCTCAATCTTCACGCTCGGAAACGATGTTTAATGCGAAAATATATGCATGAATCATTTTTGTCACATGTCATAACCTAGCACGATACGTCAAATAAATCCCATAATTTACGTATAGGTAGCGATTTCTTGCTTAATATGTTCAGAATAGCATTATTTTACCCAAAAATTTCGTCAACATCTAAAGTTTTCGTTTACGAGGACGGTATCCATTGCCGTAATATGATTGGCTGCCTTAGGTCACGTGTCTGGTTTTGACCAATCACGACCCTTATAGCAGACTGTGGTGAAAAAGCGTCATTAGAAACCAATTTTTATCCAATAAAATTGCAAGGGTACAGTGATATTGTTGATGTTCAGAGCTTTCGAACGATGCCCGACATCAAACAATTCGCCTCGCATGTTATTCATACGAAGCTTCGAAAACGGAGGTATTTTCCGTTGTTGTGTCATGTTACCGAGCGAAAAGCCACTGATATCGGGAAATAGGCGACCATACATATTATTTAAGAAATCTTTTTTATGATAATTTTCTGATTACGTAAAAATGAAAATATAAAAGAAAAGGTCACGGGCATGTTATGACATGTCACAAATGGAAAAAAATCGCTATAGTTTTTGCTTCTTTCGTGGTTTATCTGGATATAAATGTAAACTTGCATTTTCATCATTAACAGTATTTTTCAAAACCACCACACAAAACTGCCACAGAATACAAATAAGTTTACTTTACGTGAAACAAGTCGTGTCACGTGGCCCAACTTTATCGCTCAATAACAAAGTACCGGTAAGTGCATAGCTGTGATAAAAATATCTGATTAAATTTAATTTATTGTTTATACTATGAAATATATTTTACAAAAGACAAACAACAAAGTTTTATATTTTATGTTTTATTTGTCCCACGATGTCATTTACCTTTGGAAACGTTGTCAGTACGTATATGCGTCCTGCTTCCGGTGTAAACATTGCCAGTTGAGTTCGCAGGGCTGGCAGATTCACACACCTGACCTCGGGATTTTTTTGGGTAGATTGATGAACTCAAGTATAAGTCGGGTCTGATTTTTTACCTTCATTTTCTGGTATCAAATTTCCGACTTATAGTCGGTCATATACGGTAACCTTTGTGCTAATATATACTACTCCACTTTTTGATTGGAATATGTCATTGTAATTTTGTGTAAATAATATTAAACAATATTCAGATCGATTATAATCAGATTTCAGTAATCGATTATAATTGATTGGGAGCATGGTGGGCGAACTGTCTAAGGTGCCAGGCAAGTGGTCCAGTGAGCTTGAGGTGACAGGATCTAGCCCCCGTATGACCGGGTGTAAAAACCTTGGAGTCAACTTTGTGTGCAGACTCTTTCAGTGTTGTCACAACCAATAGTGTACAGTACACAACCCTGTTCACTTAAAAGAACCTGGTAAATGACCAGATGGTGGCCACATGAATACATGAAAACACCTAGTTGCAGGTACAGCAACGTGCAGTAAACTTGGACAAAGTAATGTGACTAAGTGTCCCAGTCCACCCAGCTATGAAAGGGTACCTCATAAGGATGGGAAAGACACACTAACTCGGGTGTGCCTAGAGTTGTATGTACCCCAGGGAGTTGAGATTGATAATATGACGTGCCGTTGAGATTAACATCCAGTGATTGAGAGAAAAACAAAGCACCTTTGAGCAGCTGAACTGGATATCGGCGCTATACAAATGTTAGCATAAACCCCACAACAAAACTCATGTGGGCACAATCATAAAATATTGTACAAACAAAACATGCGTTTATTAATACCTCGATCAAGACGACCCAGGATACTGTCTGTTGAGTCATGCATACAAGTTTAACCTGTCAGGAAACTGCATCAGTTGTTTATGTCTTGATTTAACAAACATAAACTTAAGAAAGTATGTTCTCATCCTTATTTTGATGTTTCATTTCTTATGATTATCAATAAGGCTTCCATGCTCATCAATAATTGCTCATGCAAGCGAGATCGTTCGACTGAGGGATTATTTGTTCAATTGCTCCAACACTGTATTGCATGTATTCATGAAGCTGTGTGATAACTCGCTGCGCCTAACAGGCTGCATGAGTTGAATACTCCCCAGGGAGTTGGGTTGGTTAAAGAATGCCAGAAAAAAAGACATCTGTTGATCAAGGGAACACTCAAGAGCCTTGAGCATGTACTAGTTGCGTGGATATGTGCGCTATATAAATGTCCTTTCATCATCATCAACACTAATATGAAGTAATATTTAAGAAAATGCCCTTGTTATTTCCTATTTAGTTTTGAGTTATAAGAGGGGCGGTGGGGTAGCCTAATGGTTAAAGCGTTGACTTGTCACGCCGAAGACCCGGGTTCGAATCCCCACATGGGCACAATGTGTGAAGCCCATTTCTGGTGTCCCCTGCCGTGATGTTGCTGGAATATTGCTAAAAGCGGCGTAAAACCAAACTCAGTCAGTCAGTTGAGTTATAAGAATAGAAGATAAAAATATTTTTATCAACAGTTGAGTAGTATATGTACTTTTTGTCATAGAGCACTTTAAGCTGACGCCATTAATAAGATGTACAAGCATTTATCCGTTTGAAAGTTAGTTAATTCCTTCCTTAAAAGGCCATATTCACTTTGCAACGATGAAATTATCAAGTGTTGAATATTTGTGTTTTTGTTCCAGGGAGAGCCTGGCATCCCAGGTCTGAATGGTCTGCCAGGTGGGCCAGGCCCGGTCGGTTCAGTCGGCATTCAAGGTATACGAGGAGAACCTGGTCTCAATGGTCTTCCCGTGAGTATGCTCATGTCACATGAGGATGGAGAGAAAGCATTGCCATGAAACAACATTATTGACCCATTTTCAGATTTGATTAAAATGGATTGTGTGGTCAGGCTCACACATATGGTTAATTATGTGTCATTCCACTTATACTTGGCCTAGACAAATGCAAGATACCATGATATTGCTTGAATATTTCTGAAATTGTGGCTTGTAACTCCATACAATCACCGACACATTGTAAAGATGTATATTGAAATTAAATAGTTGTAACAGTATCATTTGTCGTATAGAAAATTTTAAAACATTTTTTTTTTATGTGAAACTGTAGGAAGCAAATGTGGATTCTCATTAACATGAACCACTTTCTCTACTTCAAAAGGACACAAAATATAAACTTTTCTCATATTTGTTGCATGTTGCTGTGTTCCAGGGTCAGAAGGGAGATGTGGGACCAGTTGGACCCCCTGGACCTCCTGCTCGTCTACCCCCAGGACCTGTCTTTGGGTCAGGATCAGGAACTGATGGTGGAGTCAGGGTCAGTACATCTACCACTTCTCTTTGTTGACCCGTGAAGATATGGGTTAGAATTGATCTTCAGTAACCCATGCATGTTGTAAGAGGCAAATAACGTAATTGGTTGGTCGGGCTCGCTGACTTGGTTGACACATGTCATCGTATCCCAATTGTGTTGATTGATGCTCATGCTGATTACCAGATTGTCTGGTCCAGACTCGATTATTTAAAGACTGCCGCCATATTGCTGGAATATTGCTGAGGGCGGCATAAACTAAACTCACTCACTCATGGTTAATTTGTTAGTGGTGAAACCAAATATCAGCTAAACATTCCACATTGTAGATCATTAGCTGATTCTATATGAAAGGCTTTTGAGAATATTGTGTTAAACTGACCTCTTGACAACTAACTTAGTGATCATTACCATTCTTTGATTGTTGTATTGAAATTTTTATTTAAAAAGAATATGCCTTCATTTGTAGTGCTTGGTTATTGCAGGTTGAGGTTGGACCTCCAGGCCCATCTGGACCAGCTGGTCCACGTGGACCAATTGGACCCCGTGGAATGAAAGGTCCAATGGGGGAAATGGGCATGCCAGGATTCCCGGTAGGATTCTCAGCGGAAGATTCAGCCAACATTCTGTCTTTGTTAAATATACCACTCCAGTCTTGATAGGGATAGAGAAACAGTTCATAGGGGTTGATTTAAGGAAATGAAACCTACTTGCACCAGGTGCAAGCTGAGGTAATAAGCTTGTTGCACCAGGTGGAATGCTCTGGTAATGACCTCGTTGCACCAGGTGCAAGTTGAGGTTAATGACCTTGTTGCACCAGGTGCAAGCTGAAGTAATGACCTTGTTGCACCAGGTGCAAGCTGAAGTAATGACCTTGTTGCACCAGGTGCAAGCTGAAGTAATGACCTTGTTGCACCAGGTGCAAGTTGAAGTAATGACCTTGTCGCACCAGGTGCAAGTTGAGGTAATGACCTTGTCGCACTAAGTGCAAGTTGAAGTAATGACCTTGTTGCACCAGGTGCAAGTTGAGGTAATGACCTTGTTGCACCAGGTGCAAGTTGAAGTAATGACCTTGTTGCACCAGGTGCAAGTTGAAGTAATGACCTTGTTGCACCAAGTGCAAGTTGAAGTAATGACCTTGTTGCACCAGGTGCAAGTTGAAGTAATGACCTTGTTGCACCAGGTGCAAGTTGAAGTAATGACCTTGTTGCACCAGGTGCAAGTTGAAGTAATGACCTTGTTGCACCAGGTGCAAGTTGAAGTAATGACCTTGTTGCACCAGGTGCAAGCTGAAGTAATGACCTTGTTGCACCAGGTGCAAGTTGAAGTAATGACCTTGTTGCACCAAGTGCAAGTTGAAGTAATGACCTTGTTGCACCAGGTGCAAGTTGAAGTAATGACCTTGTTGCACCAGGTGCAAGTTGAGGTAATGACCTTGTTGCAGCAGGTGCAAGTTGAGGTAATGACCTTGTTGCAGCAGACAGAACATGTTGCACCCGCTGCTCATTCAAAAAACCATAATGCTTGATTTTTGCCTTTGATTTAGAATATTACAGCAATTTTTTTCTGGGTCCGCTAAAGATCATTTTATCTTGCTTCATAAAATTTCAAATCATGAAAAGCAACAGTTGTTCAATCACTGTCTTTGTAGTCATTAGAGTCTGCTGCAAACCGGTTCCTGTATTATGTACTGAGTGGAAGTTGGTATAAATATGGGGTTGCATTTTGCAGTTTTAAGTTGGGAACTTACAGTATTTGAAATATTCTTGGTGTATGATAGATTGATAGGAATAGTGGAGCTGTACTAATAGGAGTATGGTATGCATTTCGGTAAAAGTATTTAAATTTCACATCCCTTTTTACTGATTTTGATAGGTTTGTTTCTAATGGTTAAAAGAACAGACATTCATTTTAAATGCCGATAGTAAATCATGAACTTCCTGTTTAGGGTCGACTTGGACTCCGAGGTCGTAAGGGTGAGCGTGGTTTCAGCATCAAGGGAGCAAGGGGAGTGAAGGGTGAACCTGGTATTGGCCTTCCTGGAGGAAGTGGAGTTTTCATTCCGGGACCAAAGGGAAATAGGGTGAGACATAAACATGTTTTGATGTTGTTTTGTCTGTAATCTGTACCGCCGTGATACCGCTGAAATATAGCTGAAAGTGGCATAAAACTAAACTCACTCACTCATCTGTCCTGAAATAAATTCTTAATGGATGGTGTCAGATATGTTAGTTCACTGTAAATGAAAGTCATCCTGATATCCTGATATGCATGCGTGTGTGCACGTTTGCGTGAGTGAGTGAGTGAAGTATATCAGAAGAATCAAGTCTATTCAACAATGAACATGATGGTTGACTGATTTTGTGTGTATGTGATATATAGATGTGAAATATACAATGGACCCAAGTCTATTCAATTATTACATTGAACATAATTGTTGAGAGAATTTTGTTGAATTACTGTCTCCACCTTTTTGACATGTCACATTTTTCCCACTGTACTTGTATTCTGCAATCGTAGTGGGGCAGTGGGGTAGCCTTGTGGTTAAAGCATTTGCTCATCACGCCGAAGACCCGGGTTCATTTTCCCACATGGGTACAGTTTGTGAACCCCACTTCTGGTGTCCCCCACCATGATATAGCTGGAATAATGCTAAAAGTGGCGTAAAACTACACTTACTAACTCACTTAATTCACATGACCTGTTCCAGGGAGACCCAGGTGTACCTGGTAATGATGGTATCCATGGTCAAGACGGACCCCCTGGACCCCCTGGACCACCAGGGATCTCTTCCTCTGTGGTTTCAGGAAGTGGAGATGGAACCACTGTCATCAGCCAACCAGGCCCTGTAGGACCTGCCGGACCGGCAGGCATGAAGGTCAGTAGTGTGTGCTTCATTCATAATAATAATAATAATAATCATAATCATAATGGACATTTCTAAAACGTTTGTATCCACACACTTGTGCATTCTCAAAGACATTACCCCAGTTAACTCAAGCTGCCTTTTAGACGCTAGAAGGTTACCATATATTACTGTAGATAAGCCGATCTCATAGATAAGTCAAGGCCCTAACTTGACCCTTAAAATCATTATCAAAATGGTATTTTATGTAGATAATCCGAACCTTCATTCATCTTTTCATCGTGATAATTTCCTGTATCCACGCACTTGTCCATTACCCTGAATAACCCAAGCTGAGTGTGAGGCGCGCTAGAAGGTTAACATTCATATGACTTATCCCACCGGGTACCCATTCACTGCTGGGTGGACAGAGGCAATTTTGAACAAACTCACTTGCCTAAGGTGAGACCACATGTATCACATGTGCTTCGTTGTGGGCAGGACTGAAGTCCTAGAAACTCTCAAGAGTCAAGCTGCCGATCACTGTTGCCCATATAAGTACTGACTGTGACCAACCATGCTTAACTTCACCTGATTTGTTACCAGTGCTCTGTGCACACAACCACTCACTACCAATAAACGTGGATACTTTCTCCACTCTCTTAATGATTTCGCATTTTCAAGTATATACAGTTACTCCTGTTTTGAAGAATCATTTGTGTTAAATGGGGGGCAAAGCTCAGAGGTCTGGTGCCCACATTTTGCCCAGTTCTAGAAGGTCGAATAAATGATACTTGGGTGAAACTGAGACATAATATGTGTGTAATTACAGTTGTCAGTATGTTAGATTGATAAGTATTCTATAATATGATCTATATGATATGGGTAGAATAGGTCTTCACTAAACTCCCTCACTCACTCTACGATATAATGTGTCACTAACAGTGGTGTTTAAGCTACTTGCATATTTGTTTATAGTTCTTGCACTGAGATCTGTTAGTTTACAGGGTTAACACGTTCGCTCGTCACGCCAAAGACCCGGGTTCGATTCCCCACATGGGTGCAATGTGTGAAGCCCATTTCTGGTGTCCCCTGCCGTGATATTGCTGGAATATTGCTAAAATCGGCGTAAAACTAAACTCACTCACTCACTCTTAGTTTACAGCTAATGATCCTTGATCATATTTCACCAAGCAAATATAGGGTTGTGACAGTGAAAGTATGGGGGACAACTATAGCTCTAGCAATGCATTTTGAAATTGGGTCTGTTGTAAACTTCAGGATGTTCATTGTATTAGCTCAACTACTGACATACTTTATTTTGCAGGGTGCAAGAGGACCAGCAGGTTCAGAAGGAGCAAGAGGCAGACAAGGCCCAGTCGGACCAGTAGGACCGCAGGGACCAACTGGCCTTGGCTTGCCCGGACCTCGAGGTCCAAGTGGACCCCCTGGTCCACCTGGAGACTTTGCAATCAACGGGCGTGGTCTCCCAGGCCCTCCCGGTCCCCCTGGCCCCCCTGGTGAAGCTGTTCTGGGAGGAGGCACAGTTTCAGGGGTTGGTATAACCATCGATGATATCTTTAGGGCTCCATTTTTCTTTCTTTGGTGTTCCTTGCCTGAGTACTGGAGTTATAATGACTACTGAGTATAAAAAATACTTAGGAGACCAGTTGGAATGTGAAAGCTCCTCAAGCAGCAACATGAGCTTTACCACACTATAGTCTGTTTGCAGTGAAAACGTAACGGTGAATTGCACTTTCAACAAAAATGTAAATCGAATAAAGTGAAATTAAGATTGCGAATCCTCATAATTCTATCTTGCCAATTGAACATTTAAATCTTAGATTTTTATTCAACTTATGAAAAAAGTTGTTTAACAAACGATCATTGTTTCAAATCGCTTATATTGGTTTGTATTACAAGGGGGTAAGCGCAGTAGTTGGAACAGTGAAACAAATGCACGTACGTGCGGTACGTGATGAGCATTAACTTAGACCAACCCTACTTGATCTCGGTGTTTCATTTTATGTGCATACCTCCTTGTAATACAAACCAATAATACCGATTTGAAACTATGATCGTTTGTTAAACAACTTTCATCCCAAGTGATTTCATCTGTGATTTAAATTTTCAAATGGCAAGGTAAAATTATGAGGATTCGCAATCTTCATTTCACTTTATTTGATTTACTTTTTTGTTTAAAATGAAATTCATTGGTACGTTTTCACTGCAAACAGACTATAGAAGGTGAATGCAATTAAGTGAACACTCATCCAGTCTGTGGTCATTTTAATCATGACATCTTGTCTTCATTTTCCAATGGTAAATGTCCCAGTGTGAACCACCACAAAGTAGAGAAATTAGGAAGAAAACCCTGAATGCTTAATATCTGAAATATCATGCTGAGTTCTGCCAACTTGCCCGAATGATGAAGGGAAAGCAAGTCATCTGAGTGAAGACGGCCCTGCTATACCTTCATGATGGGGCAGTGAGGTAGTCAAGTGGTTAAAGAATTTGCTTGTCTCACTGAAAGCCTGAGTTTGATTACCCACACAGGTACAATGTGTGAAACCCATATGTGCTGTTCCCTGGCGTGATATTGCTCTAATATTGCTAAAAGTGTAATCCTACATATGACAGGGTAAAAATGTTCCCTCATCATGCCGAAGACCCGGGTTCGATTGCCCAAATGGGTACAAAGTGTAAGGAACATTTCTCGTGTTCCCAGCCATTATATTGCTTGAATATGGCTAAAAGCGGCGTAATACTAAACTCACTCAGTCACTCATGCCAGGAAGTGTCTGTATGTTATGGCGTAATATTGTGTACATCAGTGTTCAATGGACCCGTGAAGATCCGGGGGTAGAATAGGTCTTCAGCAACCCATGCTTGCCACAAAAGGCCACTATGCTTATCATAAGAGGCGACGAACGGGATCGGGTGGTCAGGCTCGCTGACTTGGTTGACACATGTCATCAGTTCGCAATTGCGCAGATCGATGCACATGCTGTTCATCACTGGATTGTCTGGTCAAGACTCGATTATTTACAGACCGTAAAACTAAACTCACTCACTGTGTTCAATGAGGAACGTATCTTTCAGGCTGCCATCACATACCGCAATATGGATGCCTTGCTGTCTGTTTCCTACAACTTACCAGAGGGAACATTGGCATATGTCATGGAGCAAGAATTGTTATACCTCAGGGTTAAAAAATGGACTGAAAATTGTCATGGTAAGTAAAACTGTGGTCACTGATAATCCATCTCTCTTTCCCTCATTATGGGTTGTTATTCCTCATTTGAGTGTGCAATATATGTCAAATAGTTTAAGGAATCTCTGTAATCACGTAATAGATTTAGCAAATCAGAAACAAAAACTTCATGCTAAGTTGCCAAGACTGGCTTTGCTCGTTTATCAGTTGTCATTGAAGAGAAAAGGAGTTTTCTTTCATTGACAATGATTGGAATAAAACTTTGGCTCTTGTTTGTATATGATAAGGCATTAGTGTTAAAGAAATATATATAACTTGTGGTATATAAGTATTTATACAACAAGTCTTCCTTTTTCTATTTGACAGTGACATCTTTCATATCATTTTTCATTGTGTACTATTTTCAGTTTTTCTTTCTATATCTCTTTTTACTCCTTGAGAAAAGTATATACTAGTATATGTATATACCTTTTGAATTAAACAACATAAAATACCTTTTTAAACAAGCATGACAGTTTGTCTACATTCTAATAGATTTTGAGACCATTCTACATTTTTCTGTTACAGTGATTTCATTTTCTCCCTTAATTTTAATTTCTCTTAGAAATAGAAAGTACATTTTATTAAAAATACTGTCTCGAGCATGAAATAACTTGTGAAAAACTCAAATAATATAGTCCCTGATCTGTCACTTTTCCTTCTTAGTTTTATATTACCCTTAACTGGGTGGATGAATCTTGACGATATTTGGGCGTGCTCAGGAAGGTTTGGCTGAGCCAAGGCAGAAACCTCTCATCGTTTGTGTTTACCCATGTTTTGACCCTCACTTGATTTCAGACGAAAGATGTTGATATAGAAATTCCGGTTCCCCCTGCCCGACAAACAGATTCCCCGATCACAAGTACCAATTTACCTGATAAGGAAATATTGGTCACGCAGACTAAATCAGCTGTCGCTACGGCGGCAGAAACATCGACCGTATGTCCAACAACAACTTTGTCATTTTTTCCTTCCAACTTCTCATAACAGTTGCACAAATCTAACCCTGGTCCATGACTGCTAGACTGCTCCTATGGCTCTGGAACAGTTGGCCTACATCTCAGTGTTTTGATATGCTCGATTTGTTGCCTTTGCCTGTTCTCTTAGTCTTACCAGTGGAGGGAAATGACAACTAACATATGAAGTGCTATTTAGTGGACTCCATTTGTGAAACTAGGATGAATTATCTCCCTTGATTTACCTTGTGCTTATTGTTTTTATTTGAATTCTTTAAATCTCTTTGAAGGAAGTAATTTTCACATTTTCTTAACAAGGCTAAGCACGATATTTAATCTTTTGAAATATTTTAATATTAGAATAATGAACTTAACTAAAAATTAATTCAAGATAAATAATTTAATGGCTTGAATGAAACTAATTTGCCATCTAACTTTCCCAAAGATGCCATTAACGTAATTGAATTTGATAACATTGTTTCATTTGAGCATGCATGTTTCATTCTGGTCAAGACCTGAATGTCTGTCACAAAATGTATTTAATTAAAAATGCATGTGTTAAAAATTGGTTTCCAATTTCTTTCAGTCATTGGTGATGTTTCAGTGTTACTAATAATCTTCAATTGGGATAACATACTTTAAGTTAAGGCATGAGAATGCATTAGCTTAACTAACAGTATTGCCTATTAAGCCTCCATTTCAAAACTGACAGTCTCTGTTTTGGTGTCTTTAAAATTAACATTTGTTTCAGTTTCAGGACATTGATTTGAACACATACCCAAACACTTGCATAGACTAGAAACCTAAAGTTAGAATAACTGAATAGGTGCAAGGTTACGTAGTTTCCTTTTTTCAAATAGATAGTGTTCTGCTTTATTTACTGTAGAAAAGTTTCACGAGAGTTGCGAAGTGCTTCCTGGATTTGTTTTGTTTGTGAGTTGTGTCAAAAAATCTTTGGAAGACAATCCAGCGATTTAATTTGGACTTGAAAATCATGTTAATTGTTATCAATAATATTCACTCAATGTAATCTCAATGCATGATTTCAAAATGATATATATGCATGTTTAACCAAGTTTATTTTTGGTTTTACCGATAATAAATCATTCTAAAGATTTAAACTTTGTCATTGGTTCAAAATTCTGGTTATAAAGTTATCAGTTATTGGGTATTTGTTCATGAGGTCCAATAGTTCTAATCTGGTCTCACTCTGGAAGTTAGGTGTCTTTTAGGGTGCTGTAGCACTCATACTCTGACAGATCACGGATTGCTAATGAGCTGCCTGTATATTTTCAGCTGGGACAAACCATTCCTTTACCAAGTCCGACACCGCCAGTAAGTATCTCTTAGTGTTACAGGGACCTATCACATGTATGCCCCAACTGTGAAAACAGCTGACTTAGCATTATTTTATATACCATACTTGAACTTTGGTAAAATATATGCATGAAACATGGATTTTTGAAAATCTGTCTGTATGTAATCCATAAGCATATTTCAGAATCATCTGCACTGAACAAAAATGGTTAAAAATGATGAATATTTTCGGGGATATTTAGTGAAATTTTGTGATCAGTCTTCACAACAAAAGGTATCACCCTAAATATTCACGATACTTGACTTTTTGAGTTCAGTATATGTCAAGCAATGTGCATGAATGGGACTTTATTTGACATGAATCTTGAGAAACTTCCTGTTTCTTGTGGACCTACTTCTGTTGCTTCAGTGTTTGAAATTAATATTAAATTGAAGTATCATAGTGTTTGAGTGTGGTAATTAGCACTTTTATGAAAGGAAGGATCAGACAATGTGTGCTAGGAGTTTGCAACCTTATAATCTGGTGACAAACCTGAGGTTTGTGATTTGAAATTCCTCGAATGTACTAATGTACCTAGCTTTTGTTTTATGTTGTTTTCGGATTTAACAAGCTATCCTGTTCTAGCAAAAGCATGGGATTATAGATTTTTTAAGGTGGAAAGATACTTGTATTAGTTATCATTATTTGTTATTATTATTATTATTTACAGTAGCGCATTTATAATTGACTGGATCATATATTAATATTGTCCATTCTTCAGAATGGTTTGATGTTTACTCAGTAATAAACAATATAAGGAATTAGATAATTGCTATGGATATATGTTCATATGAACTTCATACTCATTGTTGTGTGCATTTTGTTTAAGGTTTATTGACTTCAATAATCAACTTAATGTTCATCCATATTTTGTGCAAGATGTTCATTGGATGGTTTATTTTTAGTTCATGCATTGGAATACTTTATACACTAGGAGTTACATTGTATTGTTTTACAAAATGTATGATAACCGTACTTATATCCTGGCCATTGACGCTGCATGCTCAGGCAGAACCGTTCGTTAATGTAGATGTGTTTGAAGAGGCAATGGTAAATTCACAGGTGTGAAAATAGGAGCTGAGATATTTCTGCAAAATTAGCTATATCGCATGTCAAAATAGATTGCTGAATTTGCTTTTCATGGAATGTCATTTTTTTGTTTATGACCAGAAATGCTTGAATAAACAACACTCTTTGGATGAAATATTTCAAAGTCGACAGCAGGGATTCAAGTGTCTTAAAATTCACAGTAACAATTCTCAGTGATGATGTGGTTATGCAAGCATTTATGGTATACTAGATGATCAATTTAGACAGTGTCTGAGAAATTATTTTGTTGCGGTGATTTTATGTATTGCACGAGCTTCCGTCAGTTGCATTATGGCGATCGCAATTTTCAAAGGAGGTGAAAGCGCCAATAACCAGGTAAAGGTTAAGCACTCATACTGCGATCATATGGTTATGTGTTGTACACTGGCTATAGCATCATCATCATCATCATCATCATCATCATCATCATCATAATCAGTGTCATGCGACATGTATTCATGCAATCCTGACCCATTCCTTTTCCTACGTTCTAGGTGCGCCTCCCACCCAGCGTATCTGGCAATAGACTTATTAATAATAATGCTAGAGGGCAAGGCAACAATGCCCGTAATCAAAATAATGGCCGTGATAGAAACAATGGCCGTAATAGAAACAATGGCCAAATTGATACTACTTTAAGCTATAGGGAGCGAGTAGCAGAAGAAAGGAGGAGAATGGTTGAAGAACGAGAAAGAGAAATTGAAAAAAGGCGATTACAAAGAGAAAAAATACTGGCAGAAAGGGAAAAAAGGCGACGAGAAATGGAAAATAGATGGCGACTTAATAATAGACGTATCCCTGGCCATAGGGGACGAAATCGAAACAATAGACCCACTCAAAATACCACAAGGGTAAACTTCTCTCCTGCTTTGCAAGAAAACGCTAAACACGCACTTCCATTTCTCTATTAACAGCCTTAGATGCGTAATACAGAAGCCGCTGTGATGGAATATGGTTGTTGATTTGCTGTTGCAGCGCCACATTTTAATGAGCTTACGCAGTTTAATTAACCTGGGCTGGCAGCGTTCTTTGCTCTCACACTTTGCGAGAATGCTACTGCGTTTATTTTCATTTATTGTGCATTTTTGAGTTAAACTGGAACTGTTTTTAGATGATAAAGTATAATATTATACCAGTGGTAGTCTTTAAATGATTTGTCTCTGAAGATGATTTTTTTTCAATTTTGAAATTTAATTTGTTCATAATCAAATCTTTTTATGAACAATTTTCTAAATACAACCACTGATAATATTATACTGTAGATTTAATTAATTTTTAACAAAATGTGTTTTCCTGGTTAATGTGATTAATTATCCTTTCTTTTCCTTAATTTTCACAGACAAACTGTTCCCAGTTTATTTTGCGCTAAGCGCTATGATAGCTTTTTGAAGCAAATATCTTCCTATATCAGCTGTTCTGTACAGGAATTTCTGCAGCAACTTTATCAGATCTTTAGTCTTGCTTCTGACAGCTGTTTAGTTGGGAGTTCACTATGAGTATCTTATATGCATGGACCTCAGTGTTGAGGGTGACAACACTATATGTGATATGTATAAACTTATGGGAGAAAATGGACTTACGAAAGAACATGTAGTCGTGAAATTTCAAGGAAAAACTTACTGTTTCTTACATGATTGTTGATAATACTTGTAGTCATCTTTTATGAATCCCTAATGGTTGAGGGGCTTGTCACAATATTTGGTTGTCTTATGGCACAGACTTGACAGCAAACATAGACAGCATAAAGGAAGTTTGGGTAACAAAATGGCTGCTAAAGGTTATTAATTGTAAAGATAAAAGCCCAAAGTATCAGCACCTGAATTTAGCGATTCAGCCGTCAAATCACCCACTCAACAATGTCTTGGTGGTTTACTGCCAAAAGAGCCCATTACCTCATTCCTGGGGCGGAGGGGTAGCCTAGTGGTTAAAGTGTCCGCTCGTCACGCCGAAGACCTGGGTTCGATTCCCCACATGGGTACAATGTGTGAACCCCAGTTCTGTTATCCCCCACCATGATATTGTTGGAATATTGCTAAAAGTGGCATAAAACTCACTCACTCACTCTCATTCCTTTTAATTTCGTGTTTTCTCCTTAAACAACTTGCCTTTTTGTCATCTACTTTTGTTGTCATGTCTGCAGGTAATCTTTGATTCTATGTGTTACTGTTCCTTCAACCATATGTTACACCCCTCTACCATAAAAGGGACAAGAATGGTTAATCTGACTGTTGTCTATCCTGTCTGTTAGTTTGATGTTATGGGTAGACACTAATGAAGGTCAGGGTCATGGCCAGTGCTGCATTGCCTTGTAACAAACTGAGATCCTTTGTTTGTGTCCAGTACATTGCTATCTGCTTCATTGGTTTCTGAGGAGCATGTATGGTCCAGTCAAGCTGGATCTTCAGAGTTGTGTCCCTTTTACATATCAGGATCCTGTGATCATGGTATAAATCCCAGATTTGCCCTGATAATGGTTCTTGGTTTGTCAGTATTATGCACATGCATTTCACTAAAGTGGAAATGAACGACTGTCTTTTGTAGGCTGTTCTCCAGCATGAGGCTGACATACTGACTGTTATGAGCAGATTCGAACCCAACTCACTCACTCACTCTGACGTTTCCATGTTGCAGAGATGTACTGTTCTGGATCAGTTGTTACAATGCATTGGCTAGGACACTGGAACAGCTGTAATGTCTAACTCTGTCCTAACTATCAACATTTGGGTGTTCTGAAGAATATTGTAATATGGTACACAGTGACAATGTCCTTTGTTTTGAGCCCAACTAATTGGTCATTAAAGAGTTTTGAATTTGGTCTTGTGCACTGAAACTTTAAAAAAAAAAAAGAATCATTCATTATGTTTATTACTTTTTTAAATGGGTCAATTTGAAAAAAAGTGACAGGTGTGTTGGGCACTCGAAAAAAATCAACTTAAAATTAGTTAAACAAGTGATTTAGATGTCCATATTGGAATCCTGGCTTGGTTCTCTATGTATGTGGGGCGGTGGGGTGGCCTAGCTGGTAAAGTATTCGCTTATCACGCTGAAGACATGGGTTTGATTCCCCATATGGGTGCAAAGCCCATTACTGGTGTGCCTCGCCGTGATATTGCTGGAATATTGCTAAAAGCGGAGTAAAACCATACTCACTCACTCACTCACTATGTATATATGATATATCCTGTACTACCTGGATCATATGGTGGTTGCCTTGCTCCATTAGACATGATATGGTGTGTATAGATTAGCACTGGCTTGGGACGGATCCTGTGTCTACTGATATAGTTATATTTCACTATTTTGTAACCATGGTTTTCAATGTTGACTTTCTCATGCAAAAAACCTCACTCCAGGTTGTTTTGCATAACAATTTCTTTACTGATAAGCATGGTGTTAGGTAGTTAGATTCTTTTATCTTAATCTAAAGATTATGAGAACTAGTACTTTTCTTTTAATTAGCAGTAAATAAAACTCTTTCATGTTAATTTGCATTGATAAAGCATGAAAGCATGAGTTAATACAAGTATTGTATAAATAATTTATTCCTTTTATATGCTTTTACAATAAATCTTATACAATTATCTCCAAAAGGTTTACAACATTTTTTGAAACATTTTGAACAAAATGATAATGTATGGTTCTCTATCTATTGTGTATAATTGCTGAGGATTTTTTGTTTATTTGGAAATCAATTTGGAGATAATTATTGCATTCTTGCAGTGTAATCACAGTAAAATCATACATTGGATTTTATTTATCTTTCTCCTAATATGAAAGTGTTACATTATATAGTAACTTTTGTTGAGGTTGCTTCAGATAATGTGTTTTGCTTGCTGGGTTCATTATAACGTTTATCAAACGTATGAATATTCAGTATAGCCATTACGGATTGTAATTATACCATGTGTGATGTCATTTACTCGGAGACTAAAGGCTAATACAGCATTTATTACTGTCTTGAGGTGTGACTATATCTAATATATACCAAGAAGCATCCACGCATGTATTATACAGAAAATAACAGATTGTGACATCTTTGGTTGATTATTAATCAAGGAATTAACAAAAGCAACCCAAATAGAAAGTGTTACTTGTTAAGTGTATTATTTCCAGTACTATTGTTTTGTGCGTCTAAGACCTTGATCTTTTTTGTTTGTAGCCTACCACACCCAGACCATCAGTTCCAGTCCGACCGCCTCCTAACTTCACAACTGGGGCCAAGGTATGTTATAGAGTCAATGCAAATCACCATCTCAAGTTATTATTAATTACATTTCTAATAAAAATATATGCGTATTCCATTACAACATGGAATTATTTCGACAGTCTGTTGTATTACACCTCAGCTGATCATTCACATTGTGTTCTCACTAGTGGTGTTCCGATGATCGAAAGAAGGATTAAAAATGATTATCGATTGTAAAAAAAATAATTTTGATTAATTAGAATTTTGTTGTTTTTGTATAACACCCTTGAATTAAGTATACTAACCATTTAATTTGATGAATATTCACGAACAAACATGCGCTCAACAGTGTAAAGCTATGCGCATTGTAACATTTAACCACTTTTATTGTTTAATTTTACAGATTATTTACAGACCGCCGCCATATAGCTTGAATATTGCTGAGTGCGGCGTAAAAGTAAACTCACTCACACACTCACTCACTTGAAGAGTCATGGTACAAGTATACTTGTGTTATTTTACGATCTATTTTAACAGCTTCATCTGATAGCTTTGAACAACCCAATGGCTGGCGACATGCGTGGTATACGTGGAGCTGACTACGAGTGTCATCGACAGGCAAGACAAGCTGGATATCGAGGCACATACAGAGCATTCCTCTCATCTCAAACACAAAACCTGGATTCCATCATTTACTATAGACAGGATAGATCAATTCCAGTGGTGAATGCCAAGGTTAGATATAAGATTTATTCTAGCCTACACGTTAATGAGTGCTTAACTTTCAGTGGATGTTACCCTACCCTGCACTCAGGATTAATCAAAGTGTTTCTGCCATGGAGTAGTCTGTTTGAATGGGGTGTCCATTGAAACTGAGACACAAGTTTGTCACTATAGAAATCAGATCTTGATACCATGATGTAAAACCCCATTTTTTCTCCTACATAACCTGTTCATATGAATAACGATATTGAATTGGAGTCCTTTTAAACTGACATGGCATCACAATGGGATAAGCCAGCATATGTCAAGACTTGTACAAGCAGTCACAGGCATGCTTGTCAGTATAGAAATCAGATCTTGAGCATGACAAAACCTCATTTTTCTCCTATGTATCATGTTCATATTAGTAACGATATTAAAGGTTGCCCTGTCTAATTCATCCTCAGGAGGGGCGGTGGGGTAGCCTAATGGTTAAAGCGTTGGCTCGTCACGCCGAAGACCCGGGTTCGAATCCCCACATGGGCACAATGTGTTAAGCCCATTTCTGGTGTCCCCCGCCGTGATGTTGCTGGAATATTGCTAAAAGCGGCGTAAAACCAAACTCAGTCAGTCATCCTCAGGTATTCATGTATGTTCAGGTGACACATCCACAGGTACAGAACCTTTCATCATGTCTGATCATTATCTTAATAGGTGATCCATAGTAATCTGTATATTTCTCTTCTTCAGGGCGAAATGCTTTTTAATGACTGGGAAGATATGGTGAACGGTGCTGGTGGATACCTAAACGGAGCATCAAGGATATACTCTTTTAATGGAAAGGATATCATGACAGAGACATCCTGGTAAGCATACTTTAATGTTTATATCCTGTGATAATATTTAATAAATCCTCCATTTTCTATAAACTTGTTGAAGGTGTTTTCACAGGATGACTTTCCAGACAGATCAGGATCCTAATTAGCTATGACCACTTACACTTAGCAATCAACTGTTGTAACCCCCATATTTTACTTAAGATAAGTCGTAGCACCTAGGTTGATTTGTGTAAGTGATCCTTGGGCGAATCTGGGCCGGTGGGGTAGCGTAGTGGTTAAAGCGTTCGCTTGTCATGCCGAAGACCCGGGTATGATTCCCCACATGGGTACAATGTGTGAAGCCCATTTCTGGCCATGGTGTCCCCTGCCGTGATATTGCTGGAATATTGCTAAAAGCAGCATAAAACCAAACTCACTCACTCGCTTGGGCGAATCTTGATTTACAGCCCATGACTGTCGGGTTTTGGCATGCCTTAGGAACATGAATCAGCAAACTGCTGTCTCTTCATGGTTCACCCATGCCGCAAGTTTGAGGAGAGTTGGTGTTGCATCAGGATTTTGTTAATCCAGAACGTCAATGTCCGTACAACAGTGACACCAACTGCATTGCAACAACACTGACCATGCTCATTACCTAAACATAAATATATAAATTTAATTTTAATATAATTTTACCAAAATATTTACACAAGATTTCTTTTTTTTTTTCAGGCCGCAGAAGATAGTTTGGCATGGTTCTGACTCGAGAGGCCAGTTAACCAATGACAAATATTGTCACAAGTGGCTGTCAAACAACTCAAGCAGGATGGGCGTTGGAAGTTCTTTAATGAAACACATGTTATTGGATACTGAAGAATATGCATGTAATAACTCTTTTATAGTGTTATGTATTGAAAACACCAGTCGCAGGAACTTGCGGAAGTGATAACAAGGCCGGCAAGTCAGCTGCATTGCAGTATGTTTGCAGATTTACGTCATGTGGGAATGAGAGGCAAGGGAGATAATTGGACAAGAGTTATCCCCCCTTGCTCACCAGGACAAAGATGCACACTACATCTGTGATATGATGTGTTACATTGGTTGGTAATTTATTCCAGGATGGTGTCAAAGATAGCTGCCTTCTTATTGGACAGTAGCACTGAGGTTAAAGGTCAAGTTAGGTGTTTCACATCGCAGTGAACCACAAACGAGACAAGGGAGAACAGACTTTGTTTTCTACTTCACCCCAAGTGCCCATAGTTCTCATCAGAAAACATGAATATTTCTGTCTGTATATAAACTGTATTGACGGCGTTTGTAGCAGCCACTGTGTATCTCTTGTGGAAGGGAGATCTTCCTATGAAGCAAGCATAGTCCTCAGAATTTCAGAAACTTGTTTAATCTAATATTTCAATTTTAGAATTAGCATAACGAAACCTACCAGTAACTGCTTCTGTCTGAGGGATTCGACTTCCTATTTTACGTGGTCAGTAATACAATGTATGGTGCTCACTACTTTTTCAATGCCAAACCACATCAGCTGTAGGCCAGATGATTATAAACACTTCCCTCTGTGACTTTATATTGTGCATGTATGTATGTGAATACCAGTTTTTTTTATCACCATGTGTGTCAATGGTTTATCTCATTGTTTGTACTATAAACCTTTTGTATTTCAAGTCTTTGAGTAGTAAACACCTAAAAGGTCATGCATATATAGAAAGGAACCATTTGGTTTTTTAAACAATTTATGTGGAATCAATTTCTTTGGTTGAGGATTTGAGTGAGTACAGAATTATGTCAAATTAATGGTTGCGATATGTACGACAATGTATTCCTTCCAACATAGAGCTTTGTTAACACATTGTGTCAGGTAATCTGTGTAAGACTTGTATGTTTGGTTAGTTGAACTAATAAATAAACTGTTATTATTATTATATATATATGTACGTGTATATGCCTAGATCATGTTGAAAAGTAGAGATCTCATGAAGTTCATGTCGTGACTTTCACTTGAGTGGCCTCCATTTGCAGACATTTGACCCTGTTCATGTAGTGACCTTGACTTTCATATCTTGGAAATTAAACTTGCAGTCCTTTTAATGTGATAATTACAACGCACATACAAATCAATCTTTGATGCAAGTTCATTTAATCAGCTGTCAAGAATATATGCATTACTGCAGTCATGTGTTCATACAAAACTCCCCACAACAAACCAAAACGGATATATTGTATGTGTATGTAGATACATATATACATGTATGTACTCATCATTTTGTTGGGGTTTTATGGATTTGATGTTTCTATTTAAAGTTTTAACATCCAAAACAATTGTCAGTGCCAAAAACAAATCAGTCCTTGTTAAGAAAACGTAATCCACAAATTTTAGTTCTTGTAGGGAGTAGTTAATGAAACACTGTATCATGGTAGGGGGGTTTGGCATTTACAGTTTACCATCTTTTACCCTAAGACTCTAGAACTATGCATGTGTTTTAAGGTGATTTGGGGCAAAGTTCCAAGTGACGTCTTGTCACGGTGCATTGTCTGTCGTCCGTCCATCATAAGCTTTGATAATTTTGACAAATAGAATATGAAACTTTGATCTTCCAAAGTCATTAGGACGTGCTCCCAGAAATCCAATTTGATATTTTAAATATGGCTACCATGGTGGCCAAAGTGTGTTCATTTCTGCCAAAATGTGAGTTCTCCAAGTGTAAGACTGTAAAATAATTTACTTTATGCAATTACATCTACACTGAACCATTGAAGAAATAAACTACTGTCAATGAATCCGACAATTTTGTTATCAAAAGTGCTCACAAATATCAATGTGTTCTGTTTATGAATATTACTGTTGATACTTTACATAGTAAATTTTCTCTCCATATTTGGGACACCAATTTGGTGCATTGTTTATTAATCATTTATTTATGGATGGAAGTGTTTTCAAATTTTAGCACGAAATTATGGATGCTTTTTAGATTATTAGCAAGTTAACAATACTGTGTAAGTGAGCTACAGTGCCTGAAGGCTTTGTCACTGTTGTAGGGTGTTTGTTTCATGAAGATAGGCTGCATTCAACACCTTCATCATCCAGCTTACTGGTACATCAATGATGCATTCTTTTTACCCCTTGCTACATATGAAACATGCTGTTTTCACACTACATGGCAGCAGATGGGTCTACTTTCCAAACATCTCTACATAATGCAGCTTCTAAGGAGAGACAGTCTTTGTTTCGTTGTGTGCAGTATTTTTATACATGATCATGCCATATTGATGAAGTAAATGCCCCTAAATCTAAAACCATCGTAAGATTTATCCAACACAAATGAAGGGCATTCATGCCACTCTCTATGCCTTTTGAATATTCAATGTAATTTTAAAATATTGTTTGGGCTTTTTAAGATCACATCAATATGGCATTTTGAAGGGATTGTTTCCTTGACAAAGTAATTGCCATTACGCACCTCCTCTCATGAAGTTCGTATAGATTATATTGACTATGTACATGTAGATATTTTGTACATATGTGACATAACCCTATAATTGTTTTAGAGTGCTACACATAACCAGTCCAGAGATGGAATTAAGGATGGATTTTAACCCATGAAAGTTTAGTTGTGATTGATGCTATGTCTTCAGCAGGAATGCCATAGATTTCTCAGCAGTTTTTGACAGCGGTGAAAAGATTATTGAAAAAGAGATTACAAAGAGATACGTATTAACAAAACTGTAGAAAGAGGATTGTCTTCATTGTGCTTGGGTTAACTTGGGTGAGTTTATGTGTAGTTCTGTTTCCAAAGCTTTTTTTTTTGTAGTAAAGAATAAATTTTTGAACAGGTTTGCGAAATTCATTGTGTTCGAAAGCATGGATTTAAATGCATATGAGAATTGTGAAGCGCAGTGTTCAATATTGTGTATATTTGCATCATTATGATTGGTCTGTTAATGAAGGGAGCTTCAATTTGATTGGATGGCGACCTATACTTAAAATACAGTCATCTTACTGTCTGTCATTTCTTTTATCAAAAGCTTGTAAATTTGTTTTCACGTTAATGTCATTAAAATCTATTGCTCTTTTAACACGGACTTCGTTATCTACTTCTCAGATCAGGTTACTGCATGCCTCCAATGGTTGATCCAATAGTCTGTTTACAGTTCCACAGATGTGCTACGCTTCTTGGTATGTACAAGATGGTACTGATACACACAGCTGAGACCTGAAACACCTCAGTGTTGTGATATAGCTTCCGTACCCCTTTTAGTGAACACCTGGTGTCATTGCAGTTTTGTAGTGATCCATTCAACATTTTTTACTTTTACTCCTATAGAATCAATTATCTAGTAAAACAAAGACTGATTATTGATGTTATATATTTACACTGGATGAAACAAAATACTGCAGGACAAATTGAGGACTTGCTTGTTGTGCATGTTGCATCTTATATGTACAATATTCAGTTTCAAACTTATGTCCTTGGCCCGAAGACTCTAACAAGGCAACAGGAGGTCAATAGTAGGCATGTACTTAAACATTTATAAATCACATTTCCAGAGTGGAAGACTTCTTAATCTGTATTTGGCTGTTTTAGCATCTATGTGTATAACCCTCATTGAAACACTTAAATGAATAATATATGAGATTGCGTACATTATTCTATATTGAAGGGTTTCTGTATTATTTAAAATTGTGGTAACTGAGACAAAAAAACATATTTCACACTCAAGGAATGTAGAGAACAAGGAATGTTGTTGATATGACAGTCATATGCCCACAAAAGCTTGGATTTAAATTTCATCGAGACCAATATTGATCAACTGACCAAAATATACTGTGCATTTAATGAAACCAGATCTGATACCTTGATGTCTGATGACAACCAAGTTTTGATATGAATTTTATGTACAAAATTTCAATAACGAGTTCAAATCTATTGCTTGTGATTGCACATTTCTCTGAATTTGATGAATTTCTAGCATGAAGCATGTCAGGATTTGTTGTGCATGTTGTTGTTTTTCTGTTATCAGAAATCCCTAATCTCCACTTGTATCTTATTGTACATAACTAACAGAAGTAAGTTTAGCTAGGGCTTATTGTACAGGGTTTTACTTCATTGCATTTTAGCAGAGATATTGTCTTCAGTTAGTTCATGCTTACAACAGATTTGCATGTTAATACTTTATACTGCATCAGATGTTTCCCAAGGGATGTTTGCCACTGTATTCACTTTTAACATTTTCATAGGATAATGATTAACTATCTCTGAGAAGGTGTGTAAGGCTACCGGCATAATCATTGGACACCAGCTGCAAGATGGACATTTGTATATTTTACTGCTAATTAATTAATTGGATGGTCAGCTTATGCTTGAATCAGGTTCAGTGTAATAATAAGGCAAAAATGTTTATAGTTCTAGATGTCATAGTGTTTGCAGCACATGGCACGTTCCTTAAATAATTATTAATAATGATGTTAATTGGGTGCAACTAAGATCTTATTAATGTATAGGTAGGAGGGTTTATTGCTTAGTCATATTTTTCATGGATCTTTTTCAAATGATCATGGATCAGAATCTGTAATGCCAAGTATTTCATTTTTGATTTTTGATTCTGTTGGTTGTTCTTATCGCTGGAACATAAAAACTGTACACTTTTTCAGTAAGACAATGATAGATTTTGTTCTTCAGCACTGCAAGTTTTAATTTTACATTTGTACAATGCAATTCTTTCCCTCTCAGAGATATTAAACATGTTCTTTTGAGGTTAAGACCATTTCTGATTTCGAGGTAGTAAAATTAATTTTTAGTTCATTTTCTGATTATGCCATTTGTAATGGTAAAGATAGACATGGCATCTTTAAATATTTGTTTGAAACATGTATGGTAGCCTGTTTTGCAAGTATTCACAAATTGAATTTATTAAATAACGTTTATGCATGGGAACAATATTGTGTTGAACAAAGCATGCAGAGAACAGAACAAACCTTATTGTGTATGAAGTTAGTGTGACGCAATGCCAAAATCATATGTAAGCTAATTGTTTTGGCTATTCAAATATATATGCATGTTGTTTAAGATTTTATGCATGTGTTAAAAATATCTATGGAATTTATTCAGTTTCTGTGAACAGAACGGTGTAGATATTTGGAATGTTGCATGTTCTTTCGTTGATATTGAATGTGTGAGATCTAGAATTCTTGAATGGAGAATGGTCAGAGCAGTGAGATCTAAAGCAACAAGTGTTTGTAAGGACTGGTACAAGCCATCTGGTTTTATTTGCATGAGATACGATCCTTCCTGCACTAACATCCAGTTCTTTGCATGGAGTGATGTGTTTGGTCATATGTGATGAAGTTCTCATATGCTTTGGACTGTGATCAGGGTTTTGTTCCTTAACCCTCTATAGTTTAACCCAGCATTGTGTAAAATCTGCTTGTATGCAATAAACCAAAGTTACATGGTGCTATTCATATATCTATCTGTAGAATTGCTTGTTTGTTGTTTGTCAGCCTTTCATTATGCATGACGTATTTCCTAATCTATATTGACCAATATATACACCAATATGATTATGTGGGATAACGAACGACATTATCATATGACCATGTGTGGGATAACGACATTGTCATATGACCATGTGTGGGATCACGACATTGTCATATGACCATGTGTGCTGTACTGGTGTTCAATAGGAGTGTCAGAATTCTTGTATTTCCTGGGTGACAAAGGGCCATACATGAAGTCTACAGGGGTTTCATTTATTTGTTTTTTGTTTTACGCCACACTCAGCAATATTCCTGCTATATGACTGCGGTCTGTAAATAACTGAGTCTACACCAGACAATCCAGTGATCAACAGCATGTGTATAGATCTATGCAACTGTCATAGGATGACATGTGTCAACCAAGTCAGCAGCCTTACTGCAGGCTTCATACAAGCATGGGTTCTTGAAGACCAGTTCTAACCCAGATCCTCACAGGTAACGGTTTTTGTCTGTATGACATGCATGGGAGTGTAATAATTTCTTGATTATTCATTATTAATCCTTTGGAGCTCCATTAAGAAAAATGCACTGATCATGACCAGCATCTTAGAGCCACAGTTGTGACATGGCATCAGGTTCTTCAGCTATGATGTGGCTTCTATTGCCAGGTTATTCCCTATATTACAATTACAATAACAGTCAAATGACGTCAACATGATTCCCACATGATGAGGACATACACTGTTACTGTGAAGTGATATTTGCACAATATGGTCCTGAAATGCTGAAAACACATCAGTTTTAACTTGAAATCACAAAGGTGTTTTAGTGCCCATACAAGGCCATTGTTTCATTATCTCATTCCTATATGTGGTCATTTTCCAAACATTACAAAAACATTCATATGCATTTTTTGAAGTGCATCAATGTGTAAAAGAAAGACAGACTGACAGAAGCAAACAACCAGCAACTATTACTGTCTTCAAGCAATGAAGATCAATCATTTCTTTCAAGGGTTATGATGATGTTAGAATATGCACAACTATTTCAATTTTAACGACACAAAATTATAATAGTAAAAACATTTTATAATTATAATGCAGATATGTCATAGATTTATTATCAATCATCGAGCCTGACCACCGGATCCTGCTAGTTGCCTCTTATGACATGCACGGAGGACCATTTCTAACCAGGATCTTCACAGGGTGGACTCCACAGACCTGGTTAATTACTACTGATGACAGTTTGGATAATTTGCTGTTTCTGCTCAGACTTTCTGAAAACATTATCAGCTGGCCGCATACATATAGAGCTATCCACAGATATATGCTTCAGGTTTACATGGGCACCTCCTTATACTGACTGCATGCCAACCATTACTTGACTTATCACAGGGGTAGCCAACTGGTTAAAGGCAATAAAGCGTCCACTCGTCACGCCTAAGACCTGGGTTCGATTTCCCACATGGAAACCCATTTTTGGATATTGCTGGAATATTGCTAAATGCGGCGTACGTAAATCCATACTCACTCACTTATCCACGTAAGCCGGGATAACAACACGTAACTTAGACGTCTTTCACACAGACCATTTCTACAAGACCGCGGAGATGGCCCCTTCGACATAAACAGGGAAATATCCAAACTCTGCCAAACGCTTACACTGACACCTCAAGTATCACTACAAAGACTGACAGTGACTTCGTAACTCGAGTGAGAGAGATCAGTTTTTCGCCGCTTTAAGCAATATTCCAACAATGTGCGTATGTGGGGAATCGAATCCGTATCTTCGGCGTGACGAGCGAACACTTTAACCACTTTGTAACTCGAACGGACAGGTATACACCTGGTAACGGCGCCTCTACAGTATCGATAAGTAATCGTTCGAGAGGAGTTGAAAACTACATGGGAGAGAATCAGTACTGCTAATGATATCTTAACATGCTCTTCATATACTGTTTAAATGCTCTTCATATACTGTCTGCAGATTAAATTTGTGCTTCATTACAACCACACTTGAATAACGGAACTAATCAACATTAAGGGACCGTTCATCATTTATGGCTAGGGGGTGATGATGATTTTCATGGAGAAGTATGTACAATGTGAATGACCACCCTAAACTTTATGTACAAAGTAATAGACCCCGCCCTGCATGTCATGTACAAAACCAATGACACACACACACACACCTTTCCCATAATTTTTAAGCAACATCATTTAATATTTCTATGTACAATACTGCTGACCCCCTAGTACGTGTGTACAAACTAGATGACCCCCCATGCCTCCCCAGAACAAAATGGGTGACCCCCCTTAAAATAATCATTCCCCCCCTCAAAAAAAGAAAAAAAAGCAAAAAAAAAGCCATTCATTATGAACGGTCCCTAAACCCAGCCCAATAACATCTATTACGAGAGAGTCGCTCCTTCGTTGAACACTGCTAATATCTCAGCATGCTATACAATATTTAAAGTCTACTGAAGTGTGCAGCATTTTAATTTTTCCATTATTACAACTGCTAGCATAACGGAACTAATCAACACTGAACATTAACACATTACGCGCGAGAGAGGTGTTACTTTGTTTAATACTGTTAATATCTTAAAATGCAATTTACATATCGTTTAAAGTACAGAAATCGGCAGCTTTATGAAAATTCCATCATTGCAACTGAAAGAATAACGGAACTTATCAACATTAAACCCAACCCAATAACACTTATTACGAGAGAGAGGTGTTTCTTCGTCAACCATGATATAACTCTGACAAAATCATTCACAAAACCCATGCACTATCTCTGCTGATGTCACTCAAGTGAGATGTTTGCAACGTCACGCTCAGCAATCCCCCTCACGGGGGAACGGCATGAAAACGGGTGTAACTTAGCCAGTTGATCAACACTGCCCACACTACATCAATAGTTCGACCACGTGGTGGAACAATGTGCTATATTTACCCCCAATTCGTCACTGGCTATGAATAAATGCCACCAACACATGCAAAGGTGAAACTGAAGGAAGCGCATCCCAACTAGTGGGAGCGAGGCTTGGTAAAGATGCTGTCGGCAACTTTCTTCATCGGTAAGCTCTTGCAGCCTTATATACAGCTAAATCCGGATCCACCAGCGCCAAAGCCCGCACAGGTAATTAAACCAGCCGCCGCTCCAGTCACTCAAGCAGCTCCCGTTCAGAAAACAACCCAACCCAAGCCGACAACACTGCCGAAAGTTGTGCGAACTGCGCCGAAAGTTACTACAGCTCCCAAAATGACTGAAGAATGGGCCCAAGCACAAGTGGAGAAGTACAAGTTTGACTTTGACGAAGCTGACAAGGACAAAAGCGGGAATCTTTCATTTGCCGAAGTGAAAACTGTCTTGGAGAATAGAGGATTCTGCGGCAGCGAAGCTGAAGCCAAGGTAAGCCATGACGTCACCAGGTCTCGTTGCCATAGTGAAAGTGCCAATTCCATAGGAATATCTGGTTAGGTTACTGATAACATCTGTGAATGGATTGTTTCATGTGCTGTTTTCAATAAGGAAGTACACGATCAAAGGACAGTCAGTTGTTTAGTGCGCTTTAGTAAACTTACTGATAGAATGTAACGTGTTATATTTGGGATTACACTTTCTTCGTGATAGAATGTCTTCATGCTCATAATGAAGTATCCTTAGTTTATTATTGCAACCAAGCAATATGTAAATATGACCACTTTATGTTTCATACCTGTATTTATGTTGTACACTATGATGTTACGTGTACCTCTAATGCCGCAGAACGCGGCCGGAGTGTAAATAAAGTTCAGTTCAGTCAAAGCGTAACACCTACTCTTGCATTCAGCCGCGGATAGACTTTGTTGAATGATTTAATAACATAACACTTTTCTTAATAGTTTTCTGCATACATGTCAAAGTCCTTACTTAAATAGTAAAGCAATTCAACGCAATGCTAGAGAATAATAAGTGTCGGATATGAGTGGAAACAAATTCCAGAGGGAGTGAAAGGAAAAAAGCAATGAAAGTACGGATCACTAAAACTCAGTGATGACACCAGGTGTTCACGAGACGTTTACCTCAGAACTAAGTATTTTGTTTAGGTGCAGTTTACAAAATTCGTAGAAAATACTTATCATAAGTGGCCAATTCTCTTCGTACCGAAACGTTTGTATTATTTAACTATTCTACCAATAATAACATAGCGTGTATGAAGTGAAAAACGCAATTTAACCTTCATATTCGTGAGCTTCAGCTCCGAGAACAGCAACATTTTATTGCTGCATTGATGACTCTCCCACTGCTCGGCAACAGTACTGTCTCAAGGACTAATCAGATCGACAAAGCAGAACAGACCGTCAAACATATATCATATATCGCACGGACGTGTACTATGCAATGATACAGAGGGATGCTACAGCATATCTGTACCCACTACACCTTGGCAGGGCGCCATCTGCAGGCCGCGAGCAGAACCAAGACAGCTGGTAATACTCCTCGGATGTATCAAGGTTTTATCTTTCGTAGAGTTCTATTTTTAACATAGTCGTTCTCGTTTATAGTAAAATCTCGTTCATCTGAACGATACAATTCCTAGATGAATCAGTGCGAATTAACGAATAATTGATACGTATACGTACGTAGTAATACGTAGTCACTTATATAACAAATAAACAATGAAAATGGCGAAAGAGTCAGTTAATGTTAACTTTAAATATTTCTACCGTCTAGCGATACTTGTATTCCGTCACTGCTACTACTAGTACTACTACTACTGCTAATAGTACTACTACTACTGCTAATAGCACTACTGCTACTACTATGTACTGAAAAATTACAAACGGTTTTTTTTCTCTACAATTATAACTGGACACGCAGGACAGATGCTGGTTTGTTTCCTTTATTATTTTCACCGGGTCCGGGTTAGAATATTGATCTTCAGTAACCCATGCTTGTCGTAAGAGGCGACTAACGGGATCGGGTGGTCAGGCTCGCTGACTTGATTCAC